GGCGGCGGCCGGCCTGAAGGCCGGCGCACAACAGCGCTCCCAGCCTCATGGCTCTCCATGCACTGGGGGCCCTCCCTCCAGGGACCTACAAGGCAGGAAGTGAACCAGCTGAAAGACAGGCGCTCCCCACCCGTGGCTCCCAGTGCACAGGTGGCCCTCCCTGTATTTGTTTTTTAAAGGTTTATTTTTACCTATAAGTCAGCTTATAGAAAATGCATTATATAATTGTCTCTATACTTTTTAAGTTACAAAAAGAATAGTGTTAATTTTTTTTTCTCCTCCAACAGATAAAAATCTTCGTTCCTACCATGACTTTTCTGGTGCCACTGAAGTTATTTTGGAAGCAGAGTTAAGCAAAGGAGATGGTGATGCTGCTTGGCAACATACCCAGCTGTTTAGACAAAGCCTAAATGACCTTGAAGAAAATTGTTTGGAGATAATTATAAAATTTAGTGATCTCTGAGAACCTGAACATTATAGAAAAGCTGGTAATAATCAAGGACTTACTGTGGTCTAAAGTAGTCCTTTGGTTCAGTGCATGCTTAGTTGGCAATTTACTACTCAGTGCTAGCATATTTTGCTGGCTCTCCATCATGTAACCTTCATTAAATTATATCTTTATAATGTGGACTGTGATGACATCTTGAATTAAAAGCTCTGTTCTATGTGTAACTAATTCAGCACCCAATCTTGTCTCTGGGAGAGTTTAATCAAAATACTGTAAGTGTAGTGTCAAAAGAAAAATGAAGATATTCATGCTTTAATGCTATTCATGATTTTAAGAAAATCTTGGGCTAATAGTAATTTAATCTTTTCTCATCAGCCATTAGTTTCTTTACAAGTGGTCAAGTCAGATTTTCTTAAGAGTCTTAAGTTTTAATAATTGTGAAAGTGCAGTATCTCCTAAGTCATATGATACATCTAAATTTTTATGATTGTAAATATGTAGGCATTTAAGAAATAAAATTATTTTGCTTTACATCTTTTTAGTGTTTACTTTGACTAAATACAGATTTTTTAATATGAATGTCAAATATTGAAAACCCCTTGAATAAACATGAAAACATTTAATATTGACAGCATAAATTTACAGATACATTGTAAATTACTTGAAAACACTTTATATTTGAGTTGTACGTTTAATCTTGACTTTGAAACTATGTAACTGTATTATACAATAATTAGACTATATCAAGAATTTTCTGTGGGGTGTTTCTTATTACCTCTCCAGTTAAGCTAAATGAACATTTTTTAAGCATGGTATGCAAAGCTTTGTAATCATACTGTGGAGAAAGCAACTGTGATAAAGGCACAGCTCCAGGCTTCCATTTTCCTTTGCAATGTTCTTAAAAATGAGTTCTCAACTCTTCATACAAGAAAAAGACATGTTCGGAGATTCTTACCCAGTGCATTTTAGTAGAACCTGACATTGCAAAATATGTAATATCCTAAAACAAAAGCTGTAATTGTAACCACAATTCTATTTCGACTCATTTTCTTGCAAGTTTTATTTCAAAAGAATCTTTATGCATCTGAAGATATTAATAAGTTTTGAATATTAGTTTTCTGGAACTTCCAAACTCTGAGTTAATCAGAGCAGCCTATAATGGCCAAATATTTAAAATTGGAGAAACCTGACACTGTTTTATGGTGTCTGGTATTGGCACTATGAATATTCAATGATCATGTAGACAAACCTTAACCTTCCTGTGATAATCTAGTGATCCACACAGATTTATAAAGATGGCAGTAGAATTGTTGGCACTCAGCTGAGTATACTTTATGTCAGAAAAGAATAAATTGTAGTTTTCATGTGGCTTTAAGCAGAAAAATGATTGGAGTTCAGATGTTCTATATATTCATATACTGGAACTGGCAAGGAGAAAAGGAAGTTATGTACTTTCTATTTTTTTGCAGTGTTGGGGGTTGAACCCAAGACTTTGCACTTGCAGGGCAAGTGCCATACCACTGAGCTACATCCTCAACAGCCCTCACTTTTCTTAGATATATTTTTATAAGCGTTTCAACACTGAGAGCATCTTAACACTAAATATTACTGTATATTAGTGGGTACTATATAGTTAATATATCTACAGAAAAGTTCAGAAATACAGTAATATAGCAGTATGGGCCAGAACAATTCTTGATAAGCTGTAAAGTTAAGTGATCATTAACTAGTACGGCAGAGTCAAGCTGAAGTTACACACCCTCAGTAAACCAGCACTAATATAGGTTATACTTTTGTAGTAATCATTTGGAGTCTTCGCACTTAAGGACACCTGGTCTGCTGTGGCTACTAAATGGGAGCTGGAGTGTGGAGGGAATGGCTGCAGTGAGTCCCTGAGTCCTGTTTCACAGTGGCCAGCTTTCCACTGCCATTGTTCATTGTCAGGAAAGATGGATATCCTTGTTTTAGACCCATACCTCTTTATGATGAAGTCTACAGTCTGTTACCTGATTTTTGTTTAAATCTTTTGCTAGCAATCATATTCTCAGTATGAACAAGGCACACATCCGATGCTTTGATCAATTTATAAGGAAAAGAAGTGCCTAGGATTAAGGGAAAGGGAGAGAACACTTCACCATAAATTTCTGAGCTAGGAAGGGTTGTCAGAGGTCCTTTAACCTAGCCTTCTCATTTTCTACTGGGGAAAACCCAAGCCCAGAGAAATTAAATGACCTGTTTGAAGAACTCAGCGAGGTGATGTAGTCCAGGTTCATTTACATATCTCAGTTTCCTTCCATTAGATTGCAAGCTTATAGAATCATAGACTTGTTTATGGGTTGCTGTTTTAGTAGGCGTTTTGGGGATATAGATAGGGTCTAGTTGAGAAGGCATTACCATTGCTATTAGAACCAGGGATTTTCCAAACTATAATTAAGGTTTTCTAAAATTACTTTTGCTATAAACACGATAACTTGAGTTCTTATTTTATAGTCCAGTCAGATAAACTTTCATAAACTGATAACTCTGACCCAGGCATACCTTCCTTAAGTATCTTAAGGAAAAGTAAGTAATCGGTACAAGTCATGATTTCTTTATTTTGCTTAGCATATATTCACTTAATATCCTGTATATTGATCAAAACGGTGGTTTATTTCTAATAAGTTTAGAATAGACCTCAATGAGTACTAGCTGCCTTTTGAGTTTCTAATTAGTGTCAATGACTTTCAGTGTCTCATTTAATTATAGTGACATTGGATAAGTAGATGGTGAACGTTCCCATTTTATAGATAATGAAACAGGATAAGTGGGAGCCAATATTTTCATCCCTGTACATCTGACATTCCTTTCTTATCTGCACACTGCAAGTGGTAACAGACTTAGGAGTTGAGACCTTGCTCTCTTTTCTAAAAACTTGCTCTGAGATAAACAGATTCATTACAACTATAAGCCCAGAAGTCAGCTTGGAAGGGCCTATAAAAACCAGAAATAAGTACCATAGAGTTTAGCCACTGCTACATATATTCTTTTCTATAGGAAGACAACTTGCTTACCAGTATTTAAATTATTAAAGCGTTTTTGCATTAAACAAGACAGTGTTACAAAGTAAAATGCTGCCTCTAGTCTCCAAACCCTGAAATAACTACCAGAATTTCTGTACCTGTCCTTCTGGAGGTTTCCTGTATGTTTCATATTTGTACATGTATACACACATTTTTAAAAATCAGGTTTCATCTATTTAGTTTTATTTATGTAAATTGATGTGTATACTCTTCTGTTTGTTTTCTAACACTGTGTCTTAGAAATCTGTTGCCAGTCTGCTATTTTTAACTATGCCATAGTATTTCATAATTTATCCATTCCCTTATTTATAAATATTTGGCTAGTTGCCTTTTGTTACTGTAAGCACTGTTACAGTGAATGTCTTTATATATCTTTTCACATAGTATATATGCAGAAATGTGCATTCAAAATTCTAGCTATTGTGAAATCCTCTAAATGAGGCACACCACTTTATACGCATAGGAATAGTGTTTGAAGGCCCTTTTCCTCCCATTTTTACCAAAACTAGGTATTGCGATTGTGGTGTCAAGCCAGTAATCCTCACTGCCTATAATGCATGCCTTTGTGCTGTCCTTTCCACGCTAAATTAAGGCTGACATGTATGTTCAGTAGAGTATGGTAAAAGGGACCCTGTGATGGTTCTGAGGCAACGTCATAAAAACGCTCGTCTGTGTTGGACTGCTTGCTCTTGAAGAAGACGGTCTCCACACCACCGAGACCGTGGAAGAACAGAGACTCCTTCTAAGCATCTGTACCAACTTGCTAGCCATGGAGTGGATCCTTCAAAGACTAGCTTCATAAGAATGAGACACCAAATCAGAACTGCTGTGCCACTAATGAACTCCCAGTGCATGCACAGAAACCATAGGAGAGAATAATTGATTTTAAGACATCCTGGAGTGATTTGTACAGCATTAGACCACTAAAATAACAATGCTATTATTGCTTTTGTTTGAGACAGTCTCACTGTGCAGTTCAGGGTGGCCTTGAACTCACTAACCCAGGCTGGCTTCAAATTTGAAGCGATCCTCCTGCCTCAGGTTCCTAAGTACTGGGATTATAGGCATGTGCCACCACGCTAGCTATTATTGCCATTCTGAAGGATGAAAAATATCCAGTTTTAGTTTACATTTCTTTGTTTACTTGAAAGATTGGATTTTCATATGACTTTTATTTATGAATAAATTTTAATAATCAACTCATATATTAATATATTTTACGTTTGAAATGTTCTACGTATACCTTCGCCTATTCTGTTGAGTTCCTTTTGATAATTGTGTAATATCCAACTCATGATTCCTTTTTCTCCTATCGGACTGTTCCTGTTTGATCATTATAATACTTTCTGGGATTAATAATTACAACTTTTGTAGAGCTCTCTTGTTAAAGAATTGATCTCTTTCCTCTTGGACTCTCTCACATTATTCATCTTGGTTCTCTTTCATATTAGTGATTTCCTTTAAATGTCTGTTTCACTATATGGTTAAAGTCCAAGTTGATAGCAGGTAGCTGACTGAGTTTTCCCACTCGGTGTATAGATTATCGGGCCTTCTCAGTCAGGAGGGGCGACCGCGGAATAGACACGGATGTTCGAGGTAATTCTCAGAGACAACAACACAGCAGAAGCCATTTTCTCTACAAGATCTATTTAGGAAGATAACTTTTGAATTCTTTCATAAGCACCAAAGCCAGGCTTAGTAGCGAAAAAAGATTCACAGGAAGAAAAAGCAGTTTTTCTGGCAATAAAAAATAGTGTGTTAAGTTCCTGATGCCCTTGAAATGTAATACTGAATGAAATTCCATGTGTGATGGTAGCATGTTTATAATTTGGAGAATATTTAGGCATAGAGAAAAAGTAAATGTTTGAAAATGAAGGCATTTTTCTCATGCTAAATTCCTAGCTGGAGAGAGGCTGTCATCTGAAATGTTATGTCATCCCTTGCAAATGTAAAAGACTTAAAAAAGCAAAGAGGGTCTTTGATCTTCACTTAATAAATATGCAGCCATCAAAGCTCTTATAGTTCTCGTAAACTTAAATTTGAAACAGATTAAATGCTGAAGGGGGTTGATGGCAGGAGAGCTTTGTAAAGTGAATCATGAAGTAGTTGAACTTCCAAAAATTCATGGTTGAGGAAATGGAGACTATAATTTCACTTGGATTCAAATCATCTCCCAGGATGGGGAGTATTAGCCCTGAATTGTCATGCAATCAAGACATGCCTCTTTGCCACTGAGGGAATATATGACCATTTCCTGAAAGTGCCAGGTGGCAAAGAGTTGCCCAAAAGATACGGTGTAAACCTAAGTACCATTTTCTTCATGTCCAGATGTAAGCCTGTACTGAAACTGTCACAGTTTCCCGTTGTGCCTGAGCCCCTAGCTGAGGATCTGGGTACTTCACTGCCTACCCTCCTGCCACTTCTCTGTAGAATACTGCATGGCAGTCCCTGGGTACACACACGAGCTGCACGAAT